AGTTTAAAGCACATTATGTAAAATATAAACCGAATTTTATTACGTTACGTTTGAAGTGATTGATTCTGACATACACATATATAATAAATTAATTATTTTAGACTAATATTTTTGTTGAGGGGTAATATAATGTAATTTAATTACACCTTAAGTTGAGTTAACAATATTTACAATTAAGAGGGGTGACCCGGAAACCTAAGACGGGGCGTTCTAATTTAGGCTCCTGGCTCTCACAAAATACTTATAATCCATTCTTTTAGTTTGCACCTGTTTGTTGCGAGACATGTAAATAAATAAATATTATAATATTGATTGTAATGAATATTATGATGTCTTATTACCTTTATTCATATTTACTTTTTTCATGAAATTATTCCCCTGGCTTGTAATAATTATTGATACAAAGATCGAACACAAAGAAAAATTCCTAAAAGACAGGACCGGTACCTACGTCTGTTTTGCCAATCTCGGGCAAATGCTCTCTCCTCCTCTCAGATATCGGATAATCTCCTGTTAGATTGAAATAATTTTTCTTTGTATTCGGTTTTTGTATTAATAATTAAATAAATATTATTATTATTAATTATTTCGTCAACCAAAAATTCACTAACTCATTACATCACTAGTTGCAGGTTTCTTATAGGTTTTCTTAAATGTCGTTAGAAAAATTAAAAGTCGTGCCATGATAAGAAGCCTGTCACCGTTTTCACAATGTAGCGTTTTTCTAATAACAAAGTGTAATTAAATGTTTTATTGAATGTCAGGATGTTTCACCACCATGATATTCAAATAATTTAAAAAAATACTAACATGTCGTTAAAAACCAGATACAAAGATCCGATAACAACCACATAGATAAATTCGTGAGGTCCGCTGATTCGTTCCGTAGCTTAGTTGGTGTAGCAAATCGCTACAGATCTCTTTGTATATATTTTATAATATAGTCTTTTTTAAACTTAGTTTATATTTAAATTCTAAATTTAAATGTGTTTGTTGTTGGTGCCCTTTCTTGACTTTGTCTAGTGTTTGCTGTTTTGTTTTGATAGCTACGTGGTGTTTGTAATAAAAATCAATAAACCGTAAGTCAATCAATGTTTAATAAGCGACCGAAGAAAAAATTAAGTTAGTTCGTAAATTAGTCTTGAAATCGAATCGAACCCGGAACCTCCTCATCCACCGCCCACAATACTAACTGCTGGACCACCGAGACTGCGCACGAATCGCACCACGCTTAGAAAAGTTCCTTTCACTTGCCTGGTATTATTAAATAGTGCTCCAGTTTTTTAATGGCTTTTGATACTAGTGTAGACCAAGAATTTCCGAACATTGCTGACGCAAATGGTAACTAACGGCAATGCCATTTTACAAGGACCGAGTTAATTACGCCACTCTAATTGATGGCATAGCCATGGAACTGGAAGGTCCAATGGATATAGATTGATGTGCCCAATGCACTTGACGAATGACGGTCACCCTTGATGGCTCATAAAAGATATTAAAGGCTTTAGAACTTTCTAATCATTGGATTACGTCTCGTGTTTGATCTTTCACATTATATTTGTCTCACTTATCTGCTGTCGAATGAAAACAGATTTGAAGTATTTTCCAATAAACCAATTGAGTAGAAAACATTCTCATGTATTTTTAGCAATTTCTTTCCTTACCTTTCTACCTTTTATTTTCTCCAAGGTGAAATGGAAGTATTTAATCTACAGTATTTACACTATTGTTATTATTTACATATGTAAGTAAAATGTTTTTGTACCTGTCTAGATGTAATTAAGTTTAATGTAATTAAGATTTTTGCTGTATCATATTATATTTTTACTTAAATAGACTGAACTCCTTCGCCGCGGATAAAGCCGGAAGGGCTTTTATGAGCCAAACTTGTAATTAGTATTTTTTTATATTTTGGTCAATAAACTAGAAAAATAAATTAAAATAAAACTTTAATAATTTATATAAAAAACTCCTTTGTAAGAAAGATGGTTTAAACTAAACGGGATAATTTATAGAGGCTGAAACCTAAACTGTGAAGTTTCCTCTATGTTTCTGATCACCAGGCCTCCAACTCCAGAAGATCTAATCAATATATAAATATCAGTGGAAACAATTCTACAAAAAATAGGGCAATTGATTACTGCCGCATCTATATATGACAATATTCTAAATGTGTGTATTATGTGTGTACGTGTGTATATGTGACCTGTGTGAGTTTAAATTACAGTACAATATTTTATTTATTAAGCGAATACCGCACCTACCACAGAATGCTAGCTCACTGAATAGTCGGAATTATTTGCTCATACCAATTCCTGAGTCACGTAGGACAAACGAAAAATTCCCTTTCGGACATATTTTGAGCGACGTGTGTTCGGAATCCCAAATTTTGTGCGCTTATTCAGCTACGAGTATTTTGTCACGCTTTTAAAAATACATTAACTGTTTTATGAAGAAACTGACAACTGCACAATCGATTCCCTGTTTCAAGCACCAATGCAGTCTCATAAAAGAGATATAAAACAAATTTACCACGAGATCTTAGAAGACCATTCCAGTTTATTTGTGAGTTTCCTCCGCGCACCCCTTTTTTAAAACGTAAACGGCAGTCATTACAGTCGGTCGTTGCACACGAAAATTCTTTCATGTCTATTCAGCCGTTGGATTCCGAAGCAGTTTGAATAGTGCACCAGTGAAAATAATCGCCATAGTAAAGCACAATCGTTGATTGGAAGGGTGCCAAGTCGTCGCAGCGTGGCGTGCGAGTCGTACGTAGCATTCCTATGTGTTAAAATTAACAATTTCTCAAAAAAATTGACGGTGTAACCGAGCTGTCGAAATAGCCACACAAATCTTTAGATAGAATTGAATTCCCCCAACAACTAATTTTCACGTCTTGCGTTCCTATGTGTTAAAATTAACAATTTCTCATGAAATCAAACGCGTAACGAGGCTGTCAAAATAGCCACACAAAACCTTAGGTAGTATTGAATTCCCCCAACAACCAATTTTCACGTCCTGGTAAGATTGCCTTTGCTAAATCAACAGCTACTCAACGACGAAACAGTTCTATTTAAGTTTTGTTAAAGTTCCATGGTTACCAGGCGATAGTTAAATTTATTCAGTCTTTTTAGAACACAAAGGAAATTGTAACATTTTCTATTATGCCATTTAATAGCGAGTTACTTGTTTACAAAGCAAACTTTTTCATCTTCATTTTCATTTTGTGGTTGAGAATTTCATTACGGTGGAGCGAGTGGTTTTCTTTAGCAGGCGTCTCAAGGGTCGTTCGGAAGGAATACCCAAAACGATTTGTAATGATTCTAGCTTGTCGTGTTCGTGATTAAATGAAGAACTTATTAATTTGTGCACAAAGTCCAGAAATTTTAATTTCCATTGTGTTCGTGGATTGATTTGGCAGGACTCCTTAAGACAGGTCAAGCGTATTACAATGACAATGGGTCAGACTATTTATTAAAGTTTTTCCATTTACCTTTTTCACTGGTCCCCGCATTGTTTGGAATGTAGTTCCACAAAGAGCAAACGACAATACAAGGGTTGGCCGAGAGCCAGCCGTATCACGTTGTCAAGAAACGGCAAACTTCATTTAATTTCGCCGACAATTGATAAATTTTAAATGAAAATTAACGTTAACGAAGTCGACAATGGGTGTTTCAATTTTGGTTCGTAATCGGATTAAAATGTCTTCGAGTCCGTGACTGCGTTCGAATAACCTCTTAATGTCGAATAATCTCAATCAGGCCAATTTGTTGAACAGTTTAAATTTTAGTAATAGAGAAAAAGTTCTTCCATGGAAGTACTGCCACCTTACCTAATTCTGCCACCAAGCTGTAACGTGAACGTTACTACGTTTCGGTTTTGAAGGTTAAGGGTGCTGGTGAAATTACAGGCATATGGGACTAGTCAACTTATTTCTCAGGATGATGAGCGCAGTGACAGACAGATCTTTGTGATTTGAGCTCTGAGTGGCACTACATCTGCTATGGACAGGCGTATCGTTTACCAGCAGGTGCACGACATTTCGCCCCGTCACATCTTCTCAAAAAAAAGGACCAATACAAAGGGTTCAAAAGTTGACGATGCCTTTCACGCCGTAATCTCAAAAATTACGTAATTATTTTAAGGATGATTGCCTATGTTTCCAGTTTAACTGGCTTGAATACACTTTCCCAAATAAAAAGTTTTTTTTTCGTTAACGAAAATACCGTGTAATCCCATTCATGATTGAGTGATGGTAACTGAAATTTTTAAGAATCACTGTGACTATCATTTTCCGTGTTTACTTTTTTACAAGGACAACGATTTTCGAGATAAATTAATGATGTTTTTCGTATAAATCTGTCAGCAGAAGACTCACAGTTTGCTTTGACATATTCACACCCTTGTACAAGGTCTATTTGAGAGGAAGATGCAGCACAGATAGATAACCGGCACACACACGTAATGGAGAATCTGATCGTATAATCCAGACCATCATTGTGGTAATATACTAAGAAGAAAATCCACTGTCCATTTTCTAGACTAATAAAGCGATTCTCAGCGCTTAAAATTCATATTCATCAATAATTCATATTTTTAACATGAAAGACAGACTCACTTGGAAACATTTATAAAAGCAAAAGTCAAATTTTTAGAAAATGTTACGAGATTGATTCTAATTTTTCTTTCTAAAATAATAAAATATCACATTTCCAATCGGTATTTCCAAACAATTACAAACGTTGACTTCTCAACCAAAAGAAAAACTAGAAGGAAAAACTACTTTTTTCCCGAAAACCGAGCTTTTGTTGGACGTCAGATTACATAAGGTAAAGTATTGTTATTGTTTTCATTTGATTGTACACTTCACTTTTCTTAACAATGAACTTAATGCGAACAAGAAAATAAATGGACCGTTCATTAAGTATAAATGGATTTATCGTCGATCCATTTTAAGTAGAAAAAAATGTGTCAATTATTACAGTATATTTATTACTTACCGCAAAGTGCAATTAACGACAAAAACTTCATTTTGGTACTCCCAATTCTCCTGTATTCGTTCATTATTTACACACGCACGCTTAATTAGACTGCGGTGTCGACTTTAGTCACATCATTAATTTTCACTCTATGATACCATCGTCGCGATTTTTACCGTCACTGCCCAAATTTGTAGTAAAATCACACTGACTGCAAATTGCAAACAATAACAGCTTTGAATGGAACAGTTCTAAATTCAGATTAGTTTTTCGACAGTTGGTTGTTGTTTACAAGTCACCGATCGAGTTCGAGTTCCATATTTGTGAACAAGAACAGCGTACTGGGGCGTGCTACCCGCTTGGACTCCCTCCGCCGAATGTCCTTGGTTTTCCCGCTAGGGTAACGTCATGCGCACTGTGGACTCCCCCTAAAGGGTCCTTAAGTGGATTAAGTTTTTAAACTTTGACAATTGATAAAATGGGATCGAGTTTGTTAAGACCGAATCGTTAAGTGAAAAGTTGCAAATGAAATGCTCCTTATTTTCCTCTCCGAATGTTTTGAACAAAACGTGCGAAATCCGTTCGCAAACTTTTATGAAGTTAAAAATTTGCACGGCCTAATTGATGATGCTTTTATTGTTTTTTTTTATAATACCTTTCAATTTATTTTAAGTTTTGCGTATCTCTATATATAATTTTTATAGAAGGTACACATTACAGTCAAAAGTGCTCACAGTCGTAAGCGTAGCTTATCAGACAAGTATCCTTTTTAGTAAACAGGCTTGGAACATACGATCTTTAGATTTAATTACACTGGCTCGGGACATCGCAATGCCATTTTGTGGTAGAAATAGGCAAAGCGGAGCTAGGTTTCCGCACAGTTACCCTACCACCAGTAAGTAATTATTTTTAATGAGACATGTGAAGTAGGTGTTGACTTAAAAGTCACCTAACATCAGTTTAAATGCATTTTCAACAAAATTACCTGAAAACAATATATATATTTAGAATATCTATTTGAGAAAATGTTCGTTTACAAACGCCAGAACAAGAGTGATTTATTTAAACTTTTGAAAATTTCATAGAAACAAAGGGCGTACCAAAAATTTTTGTGCGTTTTTCGTTACATTCAGATATTTCGATCAAATTCCTTTATTTTTTCCATCCTCTAAGGTCAAAACAGTCTTTACAATTCTTGATTTTGCTCATTGATTAGTGTAATCGACAAAAACGAAATGACTAGCAGAGGTTCCAAAATCTTTCAAAGTAGCAATTCTGTTAGTGCCTAGAATAAGACTTTTTGGACAATAGAGATTTTTGTGACAGTTGAAGACTGAGGATGTGGCATTATTCCTTAAACGAGAAAATGTCGCAGCACACGAGAATTGGTCCCGTGGAGTTGAATATCTCATTTCACATTCGAATGTCATACCCATGTCATTTTTGGATTTTTTTCATTGAATTTTTATTATTCGCCTCCTATCCATGCTCCGATCCAGTTAGACTCACAAGAATAAAGTGACCCCAGAGACATGATACTGTTTCTTTAATATATCTTTTCTTCTTTTCTTTTGAGTTTGCTTTAACTAAATAGGAATATCGATCAGCGTAGCCTCTAATGACAGATTACTATGAATATTTTAATTTCACAGCATTTTAGGTTTGTTAGGCCAGGTAAGATTTCTCTGAAATCCATTAAAAATTGCGACATTAAAGCGACATCCTGGCTGGTATATACCTGGTTGAGTAAAGAAAAACTTTCATAGATTTCTCACGATGGCGCCGTAACTCGTAGCGCCTCGTAGCGCCTAGACGCTACGGCAAAAAAGAAGTAAAAAAAAAACAAAAAACAAAGATCTGCAACTAGTACGTATATACGTTCGTTCAGTAGCTTCATTGGGAGAGCGTTAGCCATGGTAAGACGAAGGCACTGGTTCGAATCCAGCCAGATCGAAGAAATTATTCATTTGTATTAGATTTATATTAAGCTGGGCACTCACTAGCGACCTGTAATCGTAGACGTTGCATGTTAAGTGACCAAAGATCATAGTATGTACATGGTTCGCGAGTTTGCAAGCGGAACGCGTGCGGTTCGCAATGAGCCGACAATAACCAGGTACTCATTCTAGCGAGTAAAGACTGTTTCACGCGTACACACTAGAGCCTCGTAACTGCATCTGTCACGTTACAGTTACATCTTGATAGTGAATATCTACCCAGCTTTATTGAATATCAAAATATATTTTGACAGAACATCTCATACTTAAAGAAGTAAGCTTCGGTGACGTATCTTTTAGTTATTTTAAATATTTAACTGTAAATATTTTTATTTTACTATTATTGTACATATATATTTCAAATTCTGATTATACGCTGCCGAAAATATTCGACAGCCCTCCAGGTGCGGACGTTAAGCGGTGTTGATGTTGTATAAGCAACCTAAGTCTATTAGCATTTTATTAAGATGGAAATATTTGTTAGATATAGAAACTATAAAATATAGTCTATATGACGGTTAAAAATCTTAGTAATACTTTGACACTTATTTTTAAGCAACTTACCTTTAATCGTTATCTAATAAGATAACAAATACTGAGAAAATAGACTTAAACAAAAACCAAAACAAATACGTTCTATAGTTAATCGTTTAACAGGCAACCAACAACTTCCATTCGGAATACACAAAATAACTAATAGCATGATAAGGCACAAATGGCACTGCCAAAGGCAATTAGCTAACACTCCGAAAACCAATTAATTATAACTCGTTGCATTTATTTTGACTGAAAATTGTAAACAAATAAAGGAGTTAATATTTTCATTTGCGCAATAAAAGCTTTTCATATTTCCATTTTGTTGTGACACCGGTGAATAAAAGTGTGTTTCTTTTATGAAACAATAGTACAATGACTGTGATAACATATTGCGAAACAATTCTAAACACATTCAATAGTCCAAACAATTCCCTCAAAATAAAACACAACACATTTCTCAAAAAAATGATAAAAGATTTCCACACCCTCGCTTTCCGTATGTAGACATTATTTACGTATGCAAAATGAAAATTGCCAATATAACAGAGTGGCGTAAGTTATCAAACTATATTTTTCTTATGAAACTCGTGCAAACAATCTCTTATAGGTATACGATTGAGGGCGGTGAACTTTGTAAAGGAGACAAACATCCGAGGACTAAAAGTAATTTATTCCTCGTACGTCATACTTTGCACCCTGCGGGCCCTCGTAAACTTATCTACCCTTATTACACTAAAGCCATATTCTGGAGCTACAGCTGGAGCGTTGGTCAACACGAAGTTCCGCTACTCGCGCGACTGAGCATCACTCAGTTTCAATAAATAACTAAAGAGAGCGTTTTATAGTGATGTTCAAGATGAAAACCACACCATTATCGTTTCATCAGTAGTGAATGGATGACTGATAGTATACAGGCGTCAAAGTGATGTGTACACAATGAAAATTATACAGCCCTTGTCTCTCTTCTAGATTTATACTTTCAACGTTTTCTACGACTTGATGGTGTTCTGATGATATCCACACGGAAACCGTGAATTTGAATGGAATGATACTATTTTTTCCTATCTAAATCGCGTCAAATAAACGAACTTTTCGGGCCCTTTACCATGGTCACGGCTGACAATTGATACGTTGTGTTGTTTGAAAAAACAAATATATGTTATCGAGTTCTTAGGTTTTCACGATTGTTAGACGGTTGACTGCCGTGACTATAGAACTTGTAAAGAGCCCAGAACGTTGGTTTGTTTGAAAAAAACAAATACATACGATTTACTTCCGGAAAATAGTTTCATTTCCTGAATATACGCTATTTAGATTCAAAACAATAGCTTTTTTTCTATGTGTAACTATCGAAAAAACCTAAAAACTCGATATCGTTACTTTGCTCATTATTAGAAAAATAGCTATAACTATTTATTATACGTACGTAGTATTAGTTACGTAAGTACGTAACTAATATTGTATATATTAATGAAGTTATTATGTTTAAGAAGCGTGGAAATATTAAAATAAAAAATATTATTGGTCTGTAACAACTTTTCTCAGCTTCGCTTTGTGTAGTGTAGATGATAAACCCTTTATAGCATAGCTGTAACTGTTACTTGTTGTTCGGGTCTTAAAATTTCATGTGTCAAGTAAGAAAAAAAACTTTAACCTATCCGACAGTAAACAAACTTATTATTTATGAAAAGGGTAACAAAGTAGAAAGTATTTTCTCAGTTAAGAGAATGGACATTTGATAAAAGAAACAATTTTAATCCCTTATGAGTTACATGCCCGCAAAATATTTAATATATTTACGTTTGTGACGACGTAATTATTTTTACAGGACAATTATTTACTGAAATATTAAATATATTTATCGAGGTCTTAGGTTTTCGCGTTTCTTACACATAGGAAATATAGTACATTATTGCAGAGGCCGGGAAGTAAGGAATGGCTGGACGAGCGTCAGCGAGGCCTTGTATTAATACGAGTCAAGCAATCCCGAAGACGAAAAAAACAAAAGAATACCAAAACTTTAGTTTAAATGCCGCCTTTTTCTTTTTTTTTAAATAAGCTGTACAGGTAGAAAAAAAAAAAAAAAAAAAGGTATTTTTAATTCTCGCAATCAGAACACTGGGCAATTGGCTCTATGAGTTTTATTTTTGCCTGTTTACATAATTCATTATTAGTAGGTAGATTTAGAGTTTAGAAAAGATGATAGTAATGGATTTTCATACTTACTTGCAGGCCTTGGCCGGAAAGAAGTTGCATGGTCTACTTTCCGTGTTCGTTTTTTGAAAGTAATGCAAACATTTCCGAGCACGTTTGAGGAAAAATATTTTTTCGGATCTAAATCTACGACACACTACTAGTTCCTTCTAAAGACAGCAATCAGTCATGTCTTTGCCTTGAAAGTTTTTTTAATGCGTTTTGATTTCCCATTAAATCAAATAACAAAACTAAACTCTCTCTTTCACATTAGGAACTCGCTAATATGATAGAGTCCTGCAAATAAGGCAAGCGCTCTCCCAGCTTGGTTTCAATGTTATTTACACACGTCCATGGTCAAAGCAGTAAAAATGTTATTTAATACCTCGGTGGGTAAAAATTCCGCCTTTGATTCTATTCATTCTTTAAAGCAAGGACCAAAACAGGTAACCGTTACTTGTTTTTCAGTGTGTGCAAAATTGAACACAAACTACAAGCACATACGATAGAATTCGTGACTTGTTATTTTTATCGGTTACAGGTACGTAGTCAATTCTACCTTATCTACATACATTTTGTGTTCAATTTTATGTCTGAAATGGTAAAGACATGAAGTTTACATAGGGCTAGAGTGA